CATTAATTAAGGATTTTCTCTACTGTGTGCAAGCCAGATCTGCTTCTTACACACATGAGGCGGTACAGAACTGATTGGGTAAATCATTCTTGACGTTCCTGCAAATTTCAAGAACTGACTGCCAGAGAAAACTCACAAGCTGAAGGTACATACCCTAAACTTCCCATTAAACTTTACAAGCATGGACACAAACCAAATCAAATCATATTGGCACAGAGAATTGTAGCAACAAAGCCCACAGTTTCCGGTCTTTGTACATTCTCTCACATCTTCTGCAGTGTCTCCATCTAGGAGCATGTCTCCATGCCGAGTCACTCTGTCTGCTCCTGTAAGCGGGTTCAGGTAACAGCTCTGGAACTCAAGCCAGGCACGTGCATGTGGCTGTTCCCTCTTGGCCCCACGACAAGTCGGTCCCTTGCAAACCTTTGGGAAGCAGCTCCTGGCCTGTGCCGACCCCGAGCGTGCCCAGGCGCCATCTGTGAGAAGGATGGCTGGCTCCCTCAGAAACTGTGCTTGGGACCATGCTAACTAATTATCTGCACAGCTTCCTGGATGGCAATATTTATGTTAATTAAGGGCCTTGCTAATACTGTTGTTACTATTACTGTGATACTATGTTCCACCCCAGTGCAGAGCAGAGGATGTAATGGCATTTTGTAAATAACCAAACGAGCCTCACAGCACCCATTCAGAGAAGGACATGGTTTTTATCCCATTTACAATCTAGGAGACTGTGGGATCAAAAGACAATGTACTTCTCTTCAAGGAAATTATGGTAAAGAGCCAAGAAAAAGCGATAGAATTCTTGATTCTTATTGCTCACATTTAGCTCCTGGGCCACTACCTATGATGTTAAATTATTAATAATTTCTTTCAGGGAAAGCAGGCATGCACTCACAAGAGAAGCTGGGTGCAAGAAAAAGGGTTATCAAAGTATTCACATACTCTTTCAAAAGAGTTAGTTAACTGACAAAAATATGCTGCTGTAATGCATTTTCATGTGCAGGCAGCAATTCCCCTCTACATCCTAGGGCTGGAATCCTGTGTGGGGAAAACTGAACTGCTCAGTATATGTAAAAGACAGGCCTCATTAACTCTTGGACATCTTCTCATTTCTTGGTCATAAATCCTATTACCTTGTATTACAAACTGCCATAAAACTCACAGATAAAAGATAATTTATGCTCAGTGTACAGAAGCTAATGTTTCTGTACTCCTGAGAAGCACACAACCAGAAAATGAGAAAGTATGTATGTGAAACCTTAAGCCATTCATATTGAGCATGGCTAGCATGATAAACATGACTCTAAGGGAATTATGCTCTTCAGCCAGGGTATAGTCTAATGGTAATTGATATTACCAAATTTCTAACATAAAATGTATGAACTCTTGCATAAAATATCCTGCTTATAAAGACTGATTACTCCTTATTAAAAATTCAAGCTTTCCTCCCTCCTCCACTACAGATGAAATATGACATCTATTTAGTACACAGGTACATTTTTTTCTTTTTTTTTCAAACTCCAATCATCAGATAAAAAAATGCTTCATAACAAGCATCACATCCTGGAATTCTTGCAAAGTTTCCCTATTTCTGACTCCTGTCCTAATTAGTGTTGCATGGCATACAAAAAAGTAACAGCCCTTGGAGTTGGCAGAATCAAAGGCAGCTCAATCTTTTATTTTCTTTTTCTCTGAAGCATTTTAAATTCCTCAGACTTTGGCACCGATTTTAACTGTATTGGTTATCTGCTCAAAGGAATATTTTGCTTTTGTGAAGACTGAGCAAATGTGCTCAATTAGGCTGCTTATCACATGTTTTCCTTTCCCATTCAGACAAAAGAAAATCTTTCACTGTCAATTTATAAATTCTGTAGCTACAAACTATGTTCTCATTGTGTGGGCCCTCCCATAGGTGCAACTCATTTCATGCCTGCTTTCTTCAATATTTTTTTAGTGTTTTGACATATATTGGAATTAATTTATCTAAATTTACATACTTACAGTCTGTATTTCAGCCTCCCACCCAGTTTCTCCATAGAGATCATGGAGACGGGTATTTATGGGATGCAATTATTCCCATCTTTTTTCTCATTTCCTTACAGGAGCTCATCCTTAAAGGTCAGAAATGAACATAAGAGTTTACTTCCTTCTAGTTTTCTTTGCTTTCCATGCCAAAACATTTTTATCTATATAATTCAAAAACTTGCACTGTCTGTCTATCTATTTCCCAAGACATGCCTCAATACTCTAAGTTCGAATTACTCTTACATTCAGTACTTGGATAATGCTAATGACTGATCAAAAAAAGGCTTTGTTTACCTGATCCACCTTGCCTGGTAGTCTGCACTGGATCCCAAATCAGGCATTGTCCTTGCTGTCTTCCTCTTCCAACCCTGAAAACTTTTAGCAAGTCCATAATGTTTCCTGCAATACTGTGGATCCTTCACAAGTGTGTTAAATATTGATGTATTTCTTCTACCATAACCTCCTACACCAACATTGTAACAATGTGAAATCTCTCTCTTTCAAACAATTAATAGATTTTTGGTGGCCTTAGATATCTACTCACACCATCCTCCTCCTACTTTCTGCAGTGGTAACTATAAATTCAGCAGCTTGACTTGTTATGACCCTTGTTATCCTTCCCAGGGCTCCCAAGGAATTACCAGTCTATGTGCTGTATCCAAATACTTTAGATTCTGCCTAGGTACACACAACATAGAACCACTCTCCTGCTACACTGAATCAAAGGCTAACATTATTTGCAAACAAAACCATAATTATGCTTTGCTCATATATTTTATCCAATAAAGATCAGATTCTTCTTCCCAAGAGAAAAAGTTTCTCTTCTACATTTATAGAAATGTTTCTGTTCTACATTTGTAGAAAAAACAACATGCCCTCAACTTTATCATTTGCATCAGCATTTGAATCTCAAAACCTTGCTTCATTTATTGCACAGTTTCCAGACTTGCATTTTGAACAGTCAGTGTGTCTCCCACTGTGTTAAACTCCCTCCTACCTTGATTTTAAATTACAAAGGGAAGAGAGGGAAAAGAGAGAATGTCATGATTGTGGCTGTTTGGAAGATAAAAATATCAAGCTGAACTCCATTAAAAAAAAAAACAAAAACCAACCAACCAAAAAAAAAAACCCAAAACCCCAAACCTCACCCCCCTGCAAAAGAAACAAAACAAAACAAAACAAAACAAAACAAAACAAAAAAAACCCAAAAAACCCCCAAACAAATCCCAAATACAAAAAATGAGAGAGAGTACTTCCAAGCTTAGGACCCTTCTTTCTCTCAGTTTATAAACTACTCACTCTTTAAACCAAAAAAAACTATGCAGGAATAATATTATCTGTTATTACCCACAACAGTTGAGTGAAGATGTCGACAATGACAAGCTTAAACCAACAATGAAAAGCAATTTTTTGTCAAAGTTAACACTAAGGTTGTTTAAATGGCCTGCTCCTATAGCTGTCCCTTATTTCTGTATGCTAGAAACAGCCTGAAGTTTCCTGTGGAACTTTGTCCATCAAAAAAAAAAAAAAAAATTAAAAGCTTTTTGTATGGCATTATTAAAAATAGAACAAAGAAGTTTCCAGAAGAAAAACCAATTAGCAACCTCCAATTTCTATTTTAAATGCACAGATCATGTTGGTTTTTTCAAGTTGTAAAGTTGTAAAGGCTTTAATTATTCATGGAAGACTCATGAAAGCAACCTTAGGCATTGCATTTTAAAGCCACTTATGGAAAAGATGAATAAAAATAATTATAAATCTTTCCAGTCTTAGCAAGAGTTTTGTACTTTAAACTGGAAACTGTCCACTTTATTTCAGCTCTTCAACATGTTCTTAGAAATACCCTAAAGGAAACTTACAGTTGTCAGTGAAGTACTGCACTCACAGATCAATTACCAACAAGTTACTCCTTTTAGATTTTTACCACAGTTCTCCTTTATTTCTCTTTCCCGCTCACTCTGCTACCTCCATCTATTTAGCTGTGCAACTAATCATCAGAGTAATTCCTCAGCATAGTGGCAAAAGAGCTCCTGTGCCTACTACCTTTCTTGCAGACAAAGTACTTCAAATTGTTAATACAGCACCTGACCCTGTGGCTTTAAATCTATACTCTCATAGAACTTCATTAATGCTTTTCTCAAATTACACTGAAGCACATCTGGTGCAAGGCTGTGTCAAATTTATCTGTGAATGTTATTTATTTTAATAGAATCAGCTTTCCAACAGAAACTGGAAAAGTTAGGTAAGCTTTTAGAAATCTTGCCAAGGAGAAAACATATTTTCAAAAAAATAAATGAATCCATGTTAAAGAACAGTGTTTGATGTTTAGCTTCGCCTTTAATTTAAATCTCAGAAGCAGAAGATTAGCAAGATATTTTGTGTATGTTGTTTTACGAATCAATAAATGCAATAACAGATCTGAAAAACCACAGAAATAACACATCTTAAATAAATTCCCTCATTGATACCAGATGGATTCCCATCATAATGAACTGTGCCATTCAGACTGCATAGGAATTCTGCCTTATGTGTATGTCAGGTACTCCCTCACAACATCCTCTCACATAATTTCTTTGTTCATCTTATGGAAGACATCCATATTGCTACTTAACATGAAAAAGGGGTGTGTGCTAAATTTAGACATACTGGAATCTATTTTAAAAGGTTAACTATTTTTTTTTCCAATCTATAATCAATAGTCTATATTTACCCAATTCAGTTTTCTTATTTTCTGGTTTTCTTGTTTCTCCCCTTTTAAACAAATTTATCATGAGCAAATTAAATGCAATCTTTTCCAGAGGAGGAATTCAGAGCCCTTCATTTGCTGTCCACCTGACTGCAATGTATTTTATATTTCAGCTCTGACCCTACAGAACACAACTGATAAAGTGAGCATTTAATGGTATAAGACCTATAGTGTCAGGGTGGGTGGAAGGTCACTTTATTACAAAGTAACTTCTCACAGCACTTACAGGTTGAAGCAGGTAAATCAGTGAGCACTCCTGGATAATTATCACGGGAGAAGGAGTGATATTTGTTGCAAGAAAAAGTGTTTCCACCGATGCCATTGTTTGGTCAAAGCGTCCTCCAAGTCCACCCAAAGCCACAATCACATCGACCTAAAAGACAGAACAAAAAGACTCACCAAGAAAACTCTCAGGAATGATCTTTGGACCTTAAAATCCACAATAAAATCAGTCTGAGGAAAAAAAAAAAAAAAAAAAATACCTACTGACTATAGAAAAACAAATGTCAAATACAGTTATTTACTCCCATTACAGATAAATACCATGATGTGATTTTTCAGCTGAGTATTAAAGCACCATAAATCCATGGCCAACATGTGGAACTTTTTGAAAGGACATAACCATTCTCCCTAACATACCTATTACTTATAATACCTATTACCTAAAAGACCAGTCTTTGAAGGTACTAACCTGTCTGTCCTGAATATATAGTCTAGGATATATAACTCCACATGAAAGCTCCTTAGATAAGCGTGGTATATCTGGGCCACAGAATCCCCAGTTCTTTGCATCATTTCATTATTATAATCACAGTTCACAGAGCAAATAAAGGTTAAGCCATTATGTCTCATTCTCACTCCTACCATACCAATGTACAAGCAATACCACTCAAAGGCTGGCCTTACTCAAGATTAAAAGTACTACCATATAGAAGGTTCTGCCCCAAGGGACTAGGATATCACCTCCCAGCTGTCAGGGACAGACAGCCACAGGAGCATTCTCCAGTCCCAGTCACACAGAAAACACTGACTGCTTACAATATGCATGGAGTTGGACTGTTCTGGCTCAATTCTCTCACACAGGTGTCCCAGACTCTGAACACTTTATTTCCTATAAGCAGAAAAGGAATATTCAAAAGTCTTGGTTAAGAGCTTTTGGGTCCTTAAATAAAAGGTCGCTGAGTGCAAAGTATTATTATTATTATTACTTCCATAATGTGAATCAGTTAGGTTCAGTAATTGTATTTTAAAAAGCTAATGCTAAGTCACATCTAGGGCCCTAAGATATTGCAGCTCTGAAGTCTTTAGAAGTTGCTTTGCCAACAGCCATCTGGTTAAGTTTCCAACTTTACAGATCTTAAGTCTATGGTTTCTGTGATTACATGAAATTTTACTCAACCCAAGAGCCACATAATGGTGCTCTATGTATCTGGAATGATGTATTAATAGTATCAGCTTCTATTTTTATTACCAGGTCTAGGGCTTTATGATTCCGTTGAATATTTTGCATGAAAATTAAAGTCTTGAAGAGATATACCATTTTTCTCACTACCACCTGGAAAATTCTTCAGAGGCCACAGTGGATCAATATAACACATTACACTAGCAGCAAACCCTGAAACAAAAAAAAACTATCCTTGTACTGCTGACAGCATGTATTTTCTGTGCAGATTACAGATCACACAGACCAAATGTACAACCAAGAGAATACGAATAGTAAGAAAACCAATCCTTAAACAGAAGACAAAATAGCAAAAGGTAAAAAGCATGTGTTCCCAGCTGAGCCATAATACCATAATATATTTTCCCTTTTATTGATTCCACTTTAGAAACAAACTGCTTTTGTTTGACTGGTGATGACTGTGAGTTAAAAGGGTGGCTTGATTCTCTGAAAATTATACTACTACTCAGACCCACCAACACCCACCAGTTTCCTACAAGACAGCCAGCACTAAAATGCTCCTCTCCTTCCCCAAGAGAGGCCATGGAGAAAATCAGACTTACTAACCTGGAACCACACTGAAATTAAGGAGGCTTGACAAAGGATCAGCATCCACATGTATGTTTTTTTTCCTTCTAAGCAATGGGACTGAATATTAGCCTAGATTAATCTTCAAGAAACCAAGCAACTACTGTATAGTTTCTTGGTTTATATATGTCTCACCAAAACTTGTTTGTTTTGGCTTTGATGATTGGTACCAATATAAAAGGTAAGAATGAAGGAAATACAGAATTCCTTTGACTTGGAATTGAAAAGATGCAATAACATTCTAAATGCGTCTTCCTTCCCTCATAAACCCTTGTTATTCTCACATGTGTGCTTCCCATGAAGTACAGTACCTAGCTCAAATGATGAAGTGCACAGAACTGCAAAGTTGAAGAAAAATGCAGAAAAACCCCCACTTCTTATATTTTCAAGTAATACAGAATTACAGAATACTCCTTATTCAGTTGGAACAGTGCAGTCTTGTAGATTGGTTACCAAAAAGGAAGAAAATAAAACCAATATAGCATGGAGTAGGCATCCTGAAAAGGCATTCATAAACCAGGGTATGGGGCTGAGTTGTGTTGGGAGAAGGATAATAAAGATATCTGAAAAAGGAATGTATCCATTATTTAGGGTTTGCATGGATTGTGAAAATGAAAAACACAAGCATGTGGCAGTTATGCAAACAAACCCAGCTGCAGTATGAGAGGAACAGACAGAGAGAAAAACTAAAATTCTGCACTTCTGTGACAGTTTACAGTACCACCTTTCACTGGATAATCTTGGCAGAAGTGACAGGCATCCAGACATTGTAGGACTTTTAGAGCCTTTATTTGAAGGTTTAGGCATTCACACTTTATTTATTAAAAAAAAAAAAAAAACAAATAAAAAGGCTAGGTGCAACCAAAACCTCAAGAACCTTTTCATCCTAAAGCTATCACCTCTGTTAAAAAAAGAAAAACAACCTAAAAAACACAACACAAAAACCCAAACTAACAAAACAATCAGTTCCTTCCCTGCAATCACTGCTCCTGTCACTCTGCCAAGAACTTAAGAAAATTGATGTGCCATGAAAGCATGTACACAACTCTGTGTTATTCTAGAACCTAGAGTGACAAAGAACAAAGTGAATACCCAAGGACTGGTACATTTAGATATTCCCACACTACAGAGAAGAAAGGCCATTCGTTTTTGCACTATGATTTCCTGCATACCACAGGCCACAGAATTAATCCAGTTACTACTAATGAGCCCAGCAGGCAACATTTGACTAACACACTGTACTTCAATTGAAATGTCCATGTTTCACTTAAATGTCCCATCACCAGTCCCCTTCACAATTTGTTTTCACACTGTGTCATTCATTTCCTGAGAAAAGACATAAAATCATAAATAACTATAGAGAACAGCTTATATCATTGCAGGCACATACTCTTGGGCTATCTATAACCTGAATTAAATACACAGTATCCTTAAAGGCTATAAAGCTTTAACTTAGAAATCGTTGAAGATCTAAGGGTAGGATCCAGTCATCTTTAAAAGATACACCCATATGTTAGTATGTCTTGAGAAAGTTTTAGAAGTCACTATCAAAGAGCAGGGTAGTTAAAAGGAGAAGGAAAGCATAGAGTAAGACTTTGTGCTGGCAATTCAGGGACGTATTTTTTTGTTCTCCCTCAAACTGTAATTCAGAGGCTGCTGCAACCAAGTAGAGCTGAGGATCTCACCACATCAGAATGAAGTTGCTCAGGTTCCTGCTTCCACTCTCACAGAGACTACTGAAATGGACAGCCTGCTGTAAACTCTTTGCAGGCTTGCTAAATTAAACACTGTGAAAGCTGGCCCAGCTGACATTCCTCTTTCTATCATAAATGGGTTAAATACAAAGAAGATTTTCACTTTATGACCGAGGAACACACATTTAAGGACACAGGAAGCTTGGAACTACCTGAAGTGGGTGAAAAGAGAGCACTACCTAACTTTGCAATGTCAGCAGTGCCATGACATATAAAAGTGAAGTCCAATGCTCAAACTGACAGCAAATTATGCCCACTCTTTTCAAAACCATGCTCATTATCTCTGATAAGAAATCCTCTCCCCAGGGAGAGGCCAGAAAACTCAAAGGACTTTCTTCCCTATGAGTTCACTTTTAGCCAGACAACATTGTCTAAGTCTCAAGGAGGTAGGTAGATGAAAGGAAACAAATTTACTAACAACAACCAGCAGCACTGAAAGAACTGCAAAGGGCTCCCCTAAAGGAAAAAAGGAAGGCAAGAGTAATTAAGACCATGTAAAAGTTCTGGAGTTATGACTAAACCTCCCCCTCCTCTGAGATTATGGAGACCATCCATAGCTAATATCCAAGATATTAGTATGCCAATTACAGTTAGATATCTGATTGGAAAATAGTGGGTTTTTAGCACCTTCTCACTTCACTGAAATCCTTTCATCTCCACAGCCTTTCTTAATTTTCTAGAATTCATAAGATCATTCCTTTAATTTAATTTTTAAAGGAATATGACATAGACAACAAAATTATTGTACTAATATGCATAGCGTGTTGGAAGTTTATTATATGCTTAAATATATATATATATATATATATATATACATATATATAAGTATCTCATGTTGAAAAGCAAGCAATTAAGTAGTTATGTGAATGGTATTTATTGCTTTATTGGTTTGCTTTATTGGTTTGTCATTTTATCAATTTTGAGCAGTTTACAAGAAAAGCATTTTTTTCTTCATAAGGCAATTTGTCAGTTCAGGATGTGGTTTAAATTATTTTCTGGTCATTGCATCAGCTTTAATACCAAAGACTTTAAAACACACCAAGCACTTCCCTTGATAACAAATGGGACAGAGTAGATTTTAACGCATTTGCCCATAGCTGTGCCAGAGCTCCTGTACTGGCCAAATAAGTAATTTTTTATATTGTTCTCAAAATTTCAATGTAAATTTAATGGACTACTAAAATCCCACAATCCAATGTTAAATATGTAGCAAGATATGGTCCAGTTGAGTTGATTATACTGGCTCCCTAGCTCAGTGTTTTACAGAAAAGGTATGACATTAGTGTCTGTAGAAATTAGATGCTGAACCACACAGCAGCATCTGAACTTTGCTCAGGTAGAATCCTCTTTATTTTAGCCAGAATTTTCTTGTTGCTTCAGCCATGTGACTCTTTTGGGAACAAGAGCTCTCAGTCAAAGACTGCCATCCTGTTTGTGTACCTGAGATGATAACCTTCAATCAGCTTCATCCTCACCCCACTGACTCCACTAATCTATATATTATATTGTTCCAGCTCCCTCACAAAGCATTTCTTCCTTTTTATCTTCATTTTCTTACAGTTTCACCCAAGTGTTTTCTCTATTGGTAAT